GCGAGACCTCATCTCTACAATAAATCAAAATGAGCCGGGCATGGTAGCGCGCGCTTGTAGTTCCAGCTACTTGGAAGGCTGAGGCGGAAGGATCGCCGGAGCCCAGCAGGTCGAGGCTGCGGTGGCTGGGAGCGGCCACTGCACTCCAGTCTGGGCAACAGAGTGAGACTCCAACTCAAAAAAAAAAAATAAAAATAAAAATAAATGAGCTCATATCCCTATTTTTTGATTGATCTTTTTTAAACATTAATGACTTTTCCTCCCTACGGACTAGTACTAGTATGTTTTTAGTTTTTCTGTTGGTGAGTTTTGTAACTTCAAATAATATACCCAAATTTCCTTATTCCCTGAAATACCAAGCATAGTTCTCATCCCTTGACTCTCCATTTTGTAAACTGAGGAAATAGTATGATCTCATTTAGAGAAACATGTTTGATGTTTCACTTTCCAGGATTATTATCTATTTTCTAAAGGGAGCTGTGTGCCGTATTATTGTCTGTCTTAGGTTATCTTCAAGAAGAGAAGCAGAAATATTACAACAATCTCTTGGCAAATGCGAAAAAAGACCTTGAGGTTGAACGACAAACCGTTACTCAGTTGAGTCTTGAACTTAGCGAATGTCAGCGAAAATATGAAGAAAGCCAAAAAGAAGTTCAAGATTTAAATCAGCTGTTGTGTTCGCAAAGAAAAGCAGATGTCCAGCACCTGGAAGATGACAGGCATAAAACAGAGAAGATACAAAGGCTCAAAGAAGAGAATGACGTTGCTCGGAGAAAACTTGAGGAAGAGAAGAAGAGGTCTGAGGATCTCTTGTCTCAGGTAAGCTGAGCCGAGACGTGCTCTCTGACGTGTCGCTTGGTGTTCACTGAGCACTTTGTCAGTGTCAGGGGCTGTTTTAATCACTAGATCACAAGTTCCTCACGGGAGCTTCTATTCCAGATGGAACAGACCATAAACAGATACCTAAACAAACAGGTAAACTAAAGGAAGTGCCCCAGGTGACATGTCAGAGGGGACCTGGGGGCCAGCGGTAGACCTCTCTGAGGAGATGGCATTGGAACAGAGACCTGATGGGATCCTGCGAGGTGGGTGATTTCAGTGGGACTCACAAATCGGCGAGGAGATCGCACACAGAGGCAGAGTAAGGAGAAGGCACGTATGTGAGAAGCCAAGAGAAGGCTTGCAGCAGTGCGTGGAGTCTCAGCTCATTCTGGGCCCGCGTCTTGACTGTGACACTGCTGCGCTCCCTTGAACTTGCACGGCACCCTTCTCCCCTCCTTAGCCCCAGAGCTCTCTGCTGGGGTGTCTTAGGAATGTCAGTGTTCCTGGGTTAGGGTGATCAGAGCTAATCCTCTGATGGAGCTTGCTGGTGGAGATTTTGCATGGTATTATGGAGAGAACATTATTTAGAGCTCACACCTGGTCTCTCCAGGCCAGGATATGTGGCCTTAAGTAAATGCTAGCTGTGGCGAACCGTGATCGTGTCATTGCACTCCACCTTGGGCCACAGAGTGAGACCAACACACAAAATTTTTTTTTTAAAGCAGGATTTTAGTTATGGGCTAAGTCTGATTTCTTCCTTTGGTAATATACCAGAGGCGTAAAAAAAATTATACACATCTTAAAAGATGTTAATAGATGTTCGCTGTAATCAGAAGTGTCCTCACGCTGATGGGAACCACTCTGAGCATCTCTTGTAATGGCAGAAATCTGACGTGACTTGTATTCATCTTTTGTTCTCAGAGTATTGCAATATATTTTTTGTTTTTTGAGTAGGAGTCTCACTCTGTCGCCCAGGCTGGTTCTTAGAGCCCCCGAGGCCGAGAGTAGGGGTGGTGGGGAGCTCAGTCTTAGCATCTACCTCCTTAGTCGTCACCAAGCTCGCTTCTGCCTAGGTGTGAGCAGTGACACTGGGGAGAGTTGAAGCAGAAGTGATTACACTTTGCTCCCACTCTGTGGTCAAGGGCCAGGCACTGCCAGCTTTGTCACCCTACTCAGAGATCCCAGACCCTCCTGGAAGGGGCGTGGCCACTGCAGAGTTCAATGTCATTGGCATGTGTGGCTCAGGGAATGCCCGGCCAGGGTGGGACTGCCCAGTGCTGGCATGGCTAGCCATCACGTGACCAGAAGGAACGCCCCAGCCCCGAGAGCAGGTGTTGACCTGGTTAGAGACGTGAGACTTGTGATTTGAGATTTTCACGCATCCCGGGTCAAGTGGTCAAAGGCTGCATGTGACCAGTTGGCTCTCTGACGTCCCACAGGTCCAGTTTCTTTACACATCTCTGCTAAAGCAGCAAGAGGAACAGATGAGGGTAGCTCTGCTGGAACAACAGGTACTCACTGGGGTTGCTGCTGATCAGGTTGGCCTGTTAGAAAACGGGATTTGGGCCGGGCTCGGTGGCTCAGCCTGTCATCCCAGCACTTTGGGAGGCCGAAGCGAGTGGATTGCCTGAGCCTGAGTTCGAGACCGGCTGGGCAGCTTGGCAAGATCTTGTCTCTACAATAAATCAAAAATTAGCTAGGCTCAGTAGTGTGTGCCTGTAATTCCAGCTACTTGGAAGGCTGAGGCGGAAGGATCGCGGGAGCCCAGCAGGTTGACGCTGGGGTGATCATGATCACGCTGGGGTGGCCATAAGTGTGCATGCCACTGCACTCCAGCCTGGGCAAAGGAGTGAGATTCCAACTCAAAAAAAAAAAAAAGAAAGAAAATGGGATTTGGCCTCATGTGTTCACTGTTCCATGGAGAACCATTTGAAGTTTGTGAAAGTGTCTTTAGAAGACCTTAAAAAATATTTAGAGACTCTGCTCGCCCTATGTTCCTGTTACTGTCCTTGGGCTAGCCAGCTCCTGTGAGGTGTGATGGCGGAATGGCTCGCAGGCAGACGAGGGCCTTGGCAAAGTCTGTTCCTCCCCAGTGGCCGCAGTCCTGTTCTAGCCCGACGGGGTCTCCTGTGGGGACCACCTTAAACTTGAAGCAGAACTCAGAGGGACACCGTGCATTCTCAGAATGTGGAGCGGAGTCTCTCAGTATATTCCAAACCAGGGACGAGTCATCTCTTTCCCTTCTCCTTCTTCCCTCCCAAAGAAGGGGCACCGGAGGAGGAATTTTCACCAGCAGCTTCTCAAGCTGCCCTCACTCCCCTGTGCCTCAGCATTGGCTTCGCCCTGAGCAAGCCAGGCCCTCGGCCATGGGGTTCTTGGTGCATCAGCATCTCATGGTATCAGGTGAATTCGTGCTGGGATGGTACTGACGGTAGAGCAAGTGTTTTCTTCTTGTGCTGATAAGATGACACAGGCATCCAGGCAAGAGAAGTAGACAGTTGTGATTGAATCCAAGAGAACTGTGCTAACTGTAATTGTCTTGTCCGGAGCATCTTCCAGATGCAGGCATGTACTTTAGACTTTGAAAATGAAAAACTCGACCGTCAAAATATGCAGCATCAATTGCATATCATTCTGAAGGAGCTCCGAAAAGCGAGAAGTCAGATAACACAGCTGGAATCCCTGGTGAGTCGGAATGGTTAAATTAACATTTTTCTGCCTCTTTTCGTTTATGTGTCAAATCTGTTCTCAGAGTAGGAGGACGCAGCTTCAGGAACGGCTGGCTGCGTCTCCGGTCAGGAGGTGAGGCCCTAACTCACTAAGCAGCGCTTGGCGTGTTGATCAAAGCGCCAGAAAGAGGGACATTGTGTGCCTCCTGGTAACGAGGACATCGTGGTGTCTGGACTCTTCCCCCACCCGCCCAGGTGCTGTCATTCTAGAGGCACAGACGCGTCTGGCCTGGGGGAGAGAGTTGGATCGAAGGCAGACACAGAACCCTGAACTGAAATTGTGTTTTTCTGTTAAAAAAGAAAGCAGTGCTGTCTTTAGGGATAACGGGCTATTACTGTTAAGATGCTTTTTCAGCATATTGGAAGAACTTCGTGGGTTACTCTGAAAGCATAATCTTTTAAACGTAACCCTTTTAAATAACATTTCTATGAGGAGATGATTTTTCACTTATTGATTCTCACCTTACTAATGAACTTTCGGACCAGATCCATGGGGGAGGTGGAGTCTGCATTTGTGCTTGGGTATGTCCCACTAGTACATATTTATATATCATCCTTGGACTGTAGAGTATTGGGAGATGGCAAAATGTTACAAATATAATCCCTCAGTTTTCAAAGAGTAAAAAGCAGTTGATAAAAGGAAGTGGTAACTTCTGTGTGAAAAAAAGGGAAAAAAAATATTTTTGGCTCTATTCTGCAGTATGTCATTGATTTTGACCATATATATTTTTCTTTTTTCTTTCTTTCTTTTTTTCTCGAGTTAGGGTCTCAGGCTGTTGCCCAGGCTGGAGTTCAGTGGCACGATCACGACTCACTGCATCCTTGACCTTCTGTTCTCAGGCAGTCCTCCTGCCTCAGCCTCTTGACTAGCTGGGACTACAGGCATGTGGCACTATGCCTGGATAATTTTTTTAAAAAATTTTTGTAGAGACAAGATCTCGTTATGTCGCCCAGGCTGGTTTTGAACTCCTGGGTTCAAGAAATCCTCCTGCTTTAGCCTCTCAAAGTGCTGGGATTCCAGGCGTGAACCACCACACCCAGACTATAATATCCGGACTTAAAATTTATAATTCATTATTGCTATTGACTTTGTAAAAGTATAGGAAGCCAGCAGGTGTGTAAAAGAAGTCATAATTTGCTTTGTTCCTGCTGTCTACCCACTTCCACCCGCTTCAGTGTGCTATAAAATACTCATTTATAAGCCGGGCTCGGTGGCTCAGCCTATAATCCCTTTGGGAGGCGCCTTTAGGAGGCTGAGGTGAGTGGATTGCCTGAGCCCGCAGGTTTGAGACCCGCCTGGGCAGCGAGACCTCATTTCTACAATAAATAAAAAAATCAGCCGGGCATGGTAGCGCGCGCCTGTAGTTCCGGCTACTCGGAAGGCTGAGGCAGAAGGATCGCCGGAGCCCAGCAGGTCGAGGCTGCGGTGGCCGGGAGCGGCCACTGCACTCCAGTCTGGGTGACAGAGTGAGACTCCAACTCAAAAAAAAACACAAAAAACAAAAAAACTCATTTATAAGCTTTTTAGCTACTCTAAGTTCTTTGAAAAAAAATACGAGAAAGGAAAGTCTTAAAAGATATTGTCCAATATCTTAGGCATGTCTGGGTATAACCAATTTGATCTGCTGAAATTCTTTGCTGCCCTAATTCCATGAAGTTCTTTATTGCTGGAATTGCCTGTTTTACAAAGCTAGCACATTCTGTCAGCCTCACACACAGACCTACTTTACATTTGGCTCTAAGCATCTTAAAGAGACCTATCCATATAAACACCCAACTCCAGCACTTCCTGGGTAGTTGGGGTAATTACAGTCATTGCCCAGTTAACACATGGCTACCTCTTTACTGCCATGATGCTGATGAGCAGAGATTCAAAAAAAGCTCTTTTGACAGGCGTGGTGGCTCACGCCTATAATCCTTGCACTTTGGGAGGCAGAGGCGAGAAGATTACCTGAGCTCAGGGGTTCGAGCCCAGCCTAGACAACTTGGCGAGACCTCGTCTCTACAATAAATCAAAAAAAGTAGCCAGTCATGAAGGCACATGCTTGTAATTCTTGCTACTTGGAAGTTTGAGGTGGAAGGATCACCTGAGCCCAGCAGTTCGAGGCTGTGGTGGCCGTGAGCATGCCACTGCATTCCAGCCTGGGCAACAGAGTGAGACTCCAACTCAAAAAAACAAAAACAAACCCGAAGCATCTCCTAAAGAGTGTGTGTGGTTTTTGAGGTCAGTCTAGCAGTCTTCCTCTCTCTTTTCCTTGAATCACGCCTGGCAAAAGAATGCTTCTGGGAAAGGGCCCACACTGTATAGAGAATAGTAGTTGTATTACTAACTTATCCATCCTCACTCAATTCTGAAAGAGCCTGAGTAACTCAAATTTCGCAAAAATCAACAAAGCTTCAGAATGCCTCTCTGCTGTTCCCCAGCCAGATCTGGAGAGTGACATTCACGATGACATTATAAAAGCTGTCAGGTGATTGAGGTCTATCGAACCATACACTTTTGTGATAGAACTGATTTCCTTCTGTTTTCATTTTTCACCCTTTTGGGAAGGCATGTTTTTATCTGTTTGTTTTATACCATAATATTATACTAGTTCTGCCTTGAGATAAAGTCGAAATTAGCAAAAGGACATTTTCTTTATCTTGTAGATTCTTCATCTGAAGAAAGACCTTAAGTCATGTGGACTGACACCTGATTTTCGGTAGAGTTCGGTCTGAGCAGGAATTGATGGGGTTAGAAGGAAGGGACCAGAAGGAAAACAGAACCTGGGAGCTGGAAGGGATCGGACACCTCCCTTCTGACAGAAAGGGGAAGAGATAGGACTGTTTTAAAACAATGGACTATTTTCAGGCAATATTTTATTTTTATGTATTAAAAAAACTTTTTTGAGTCAAGGTCTCATTTATGCAGTGGCACAATCATGGTTCACCGCAGTCTCAAACTCCTGGGTTTAAGGTATCTTCCCACCTCCCAAATGGCTGGGACTACAGGCACATGCCACCACACTCGGATAATTTTTTGATTGTTATTTGTAGAGAGTTTCACTATGTTGCCAAGGTAGGTCTCAAACTCCTGGATTCAAGTGATCCTCCCACCTCGGCCTCCCAAAGGGCTGAGTTTACAGACATGAGTCATCATTCCTGGCCAGCAACAGGCTATTGTAAAGCAATGGTTCTCAAACTTTAACTTGTATCCAAAAACACAGATTGTTGGGTCTCATCCCCAGAGTTTCTGAAGCCTTAGATCTAGGGTCACCAGAGAATTGGTATTTCTAGCAAATTGTCAGGAAATCTGGTGTTGCTGGTCTTGCTGATTTGGGGACCACAAGAACCACTGTTTTACACCAATCTTGATACTCCAGGTCTGTGATAAATAACTCGTATTAGACTCTCTTTGGGGTAATGAACTCAACTTCTGTAAGCTCCCAGATATCACTGTCATAACTCAGGGGTCACACATCGCAACGGGAGCATTATCATTCCCTTAAATCTTTTAACTTGTGCTCAAAAAACAAAACTCTTGGCATCCAACTTAAACCATCTGAGCCTCAGTTTTTCTTTATCAGTGACTTTGCTTGAGTTTCTTTCCAGACATTATTAGAAGGCAAGAAAGAAGGAAAGAACACAAGCAACACTGAAATCCTCTGAGCTGACGGATCCCGGGTCAGACTCTGGCAGAGACAACTGACACAAATAGCTTCTTGTTGACAGCGTCTGGTCTTGCTGCATATGTGCTGCTTTGTACTCTCATTGTTAATACAACATTCTGGCACCTTTAAAAACATATCAAACCAGGCTTGGTGGCTCAGTCTGTCATCCCGCGCCTTTGGGAGGCTGAGGTGAGTGGATTGCCTGAGCCCGCGGGTTCAAGACCCGTCTGGGCAGCGAGACTTCATCTCTACAATAAATCAAAAAATCAGTCAGGCATGGTAGCGCATGCCTGTAATTCCAGCTACTTGGAAGGCTGAGGCAGAAGGATCGCCGGAGCCCAGTGGGTCGAGGCTGCAGTGGCCGGGAGTGGCCACTGCACTCCAGTCTGGGTGGCAGAGTGAGACTCCAACTCAAAAACAAAACAAAACAAAAACACATCGCCGGGCACGGTGGCTCACACCTGTCATCCAGCACTTTGGAAGGCCGAGAAGAGAGGATTGCCTGAGTTCAGAGGTTCGAGACCAGCCCGGGCAACTTGCCAAGAACTCGTCTCTACAATAAAAAATAAAAATTAGCCAAGCGTAGTGGTGGTGGCTCCAGCTATTTGGAAGGCTGAGGCGGAAGGATCGCCTGAGCCCAGCAGGTCGAGACTGTTTTGGCCGTGTGCATGCCGCTGTACTCCAGCCTGGGCAACAGAGTGAGACTCCTACTCACACAAAAAATTGTATTATGTGACTATGGACTCAAGTTGAATTTGTGTAAGGAGTATGCTGTGTCACAGGCAAAGAGATTCATCCTCACAGCGGTAATAACGCCTTTCCTATGTGCCAAGTGCTACATGCCTTCACCATCTGGAATATAAATACTATAAATATAAATATACACTATATTTATAGGGGAGGAAACAGGCACAGAGAGGTTGAGGTATGAAGGTTGCAAGTAAGTGGCAGAGCCAGGATTTGAGCCCGAGTCATCTGGATTCAGTCTGAGCTCTTAGCCACCAAGACACACTGCCATCATGGTTCCATAGGCTCGGCGACTTTGCCTCTGGCTTCCTGCCTTCAGTTTCCCTTCTGCAGCTCTGCCCTCTTCCCATGTGTGCCCCTGTGTGGTTGCAGAGTCGAGAGGAACTGGTCCAGTCCGAATTTTCCAGTTCTTCCTAACATGCCTTCTCTAGCACCCTCCCCTAGTAGAGACGAGAACACCCCTCTGGCAGCACACAACCAACTGGTGAAGTCGCCATCTTGCCTTAGGGACTCTTTAGGAAAGATGTCTTCCTTATCTCATTCCTCTTTTACCTCCCGACTTCTTTTTGAGTCGGAGTCTCACTCTGTCGTCCAGACTGGAGCGCAGTGGCCACTCCCGGCCACCGCAGCCTCGACCTGCTGGGCTCCGGCGATCCTCCCGCCTCAGCCTTCCGAG